CTTTAAAAATTGTGTTAATAAATAGGATGAGAATTAAGTTCATTTCTAAAGACTTATGACACGTGAAATATACATGATCAAAATAAATTAGAAATTAAGTTCAAATAAATTTTAGCTAATTACATGTTGCAATGTAAGTTGCTAATTCAGTTGTAATAATTAATACTAACAAAACCAACATCATATTCCCATTGGCAAAGTATAAAATTCTTCGCAAAACTGAAAAATGACCAACACTTTGGCTATTTGATAACTTTCAAATTCACTCCTTTGTTTGCATTAGAATTTATAACTTTAATTTTCCACAAAATTTGTTTTTGATTTTAAAAAATTTCACTGGCATAATTTCTTCACTTCAGCATATTAAAGATGCAGAAGGTTTTGGTACCTTAAATAATTTTAAATCTTATTAAACTAACGTAATTAATAACAAATCAACTAGATCAGAACAGCATAAAATTTAATTAATAATTACTACTAGTGTCACACAAATGGCTATAAAATTAATTAATAAAATAGAATGAATAAATATAGAATTATATTTCACATGTGTGAGTTTGGAAGTCACGTTAATATTTTTTTTAATTAAGTATTTTAAAAATGACCCCTTAAGCATGGGACCTTTCGTAATTAGAACTTGCAATGCTTCGCTAGTCTTTCATAACATTGCTTTCTTTTATACAAGAAATATTGCATTCAGTTATTTAATTAAGATATCAAAAATAATGCTACTGAAAGGCATGAATACTTACTTAATTTGAAATTAATTTGGGGACTAAATAATATTTAAAAAAAATAAATCTTCATATATAGGGTCTAAAAATCAACCTTATTATTTTCTTTATTTGAACGATATCGAATTCTGGCCTTTTTGGACTAGTAATATTGGGCATTAAATGCCAAGCTATAAGAAACAAGTAGTTTTACAAATGCACTATTTTATTTCGGTATTAACTTTCAAAGAAAGTAAAATTTTCTGCATATTTGCATCATTTGGATTGATAGAATATGGCAAAGCATGCAAGGCTATCAGCTAAAGGAAGTATATTTCATAGGCGGTTTGTAAGAAAGAGCTTGCATTTCCATTTATTCATGTGTATATATATATATATTGTTAATGCTAAATCAATGCTTCATAAAAATTCATTATTTTTATTTTAACAACATACAGATACAGAATTGTTTTAAATTCCAATAAAATAATAATTTATTTTTAAGAAACTTATTTTATGATTTATATAGTATATTACATAAAGAGAAACATTTGTCATAGAATGTATAAAACTTGTATTAGCAATTCATGCTATCTAGTAACAAGACTATCATACTCATAACTGTATTAAAACTGGGCAAATAAATAACATCTTTCTACATAAATGTTTAAAAACTTATAAGTATGCATGGTATTTATATATACAATATAATATGTTGTCATTTAAATATTAATGAAATGATATTTTTGGAAATAATGCACAAAATTATTTTGTTTATATTAGTTTAACGAATTGTTAGAAAAATATTTTAGGTCATTTTTCCCCTGTTGATATGGTATATTAAAATATTGAATAATTAAGTTTTGCATCTAGTTAGTAAAACAAACATTACAAAGTTGATACGGCATATTTTTAATCAATATAATTACTTCATTTTGGAATTATAATATTTCGTAAAAATTAATACCACTGAAAAAATATTATTACACTAAAGGAAAACGAGATCTCGACCGCTTGTTCAAGTTTTTGTAATTTTACTTCATAACACACTCGTACAAACATATTAGACTGAATTATACCAGTATAACTAATTAGATAACCTAGAAAAGAATAAACTAAACCAGTAAGCAAAAAAATATATACATTACATTCAGAATTCTTTTTTATTAAACGTTTCTCGCAAGGCCGCGGGAAAAAGATGCCAACTTCTTTGGTCAGACGATTGGAAAGAACGCTAAATGATTATTTTTTTCAAACCAATTGCCATTTCAATTATATACAAACAGTGATAAATTTGGAATAATTAGTTTTAAATAATAATAGGCAGTTGAGGCGTAATTTATCGGATGCACAATACAAAATATTATATTAATCTGCATTTGGAATAATATTTTGCACTCTTTCACTCATTAGACATACGAACACTGATATTAATTAATCGCAAAGCTTAAACTTTTAATACTTACTCATACATATAACAGTGCAAAGTGCATGAGAATAATCGCATAAAATGAAAAAAAATTTCAAGTAGTATTGTAACATTTTCTTACTTACCTGCGCTATACAACCAACATGCATTCAGCCATGTTTTTTTCCAAAGCTTTCAAACACTCTCGATTGCTAATTTCCAGTCAGTCACGTGATTCTTCCGCGGGCTACTGAAACATTATCGTAATGTTACAAGCAATCTGCTGTTACGCTAAGTTTGCTTTCAACCTGTTACCATACAGGAAATTCTTCTGTAACTTTTTGATTCTGTAACTTTACAAAACTTTTGCCTGTAAAGAGCGAACTTTTTTTTTACAGTGAGGTAACTATTCTTATAACAGTTCTTCAATCAAGAACATCACTATTTTGATACGTGTTCTCTTTGGTTTTAATTAATTATGGCAAAGCGCTCGACGGTTATCTGCCTAAGGGAAGGGAAGGGATTTTGTGAGAGAAAACGGCTGGAATACACGTTACACATGGTGAAAACCACGGAAACGCCTATGCAGCCAGTCCGTTTGCCAGGATTTGAACCCCGACTCGAACTACCAGTGGCGTTCTTTTTGTTTTATTCCAAATTCGAATGATTTTTGAAGACAAATTGGGATTTTTGTTTTCACTCTAAATTCAATTTTAAAATACGTGATTGTGAAATTTGCCTACACTGGATAAAATTGCAGTAAAACTTCTGCAGTATTGCAGCAAAATTCCGTTTGCAAGTATCTTAGTTGATTGAGTTTCATATAAATAACTATTTAGAACATAAAATATATATGTAAAAATATTTATGTATTTGGTATTATATATATTATTTATGTATCATCATGCTTTTCCTGTTGTAAGAAATCGCCAAAATGCGCCAAGACGTTTACGCTAATACAAAAACAAACGTCAAAGTAGCAGAGAAGAATTAATTTACAACAAAAATCTGTTTTTTTATCACTTTATTGCTAAATTATTTCGCTACCCAACTAGTTGAATAAAAAATATATAGAATTTTAAATACAGAAGATAATTTTATACCTATTTTCATTGTCATTAAAAACTTTTTCTTAATGCGATGGAACTTGCTTAAGAAATTTTCAGCTAAAATGTTCGTGCTTAAAATTTTTATTTTATAATGTCCCCATTCTTTTGGAAAACATTTTAAAAATTGTTGTTTAATTAATCTTTCGAAAAATGCTTTAATCGGGTTCACCTCTATTAGTTAAATATTGTTTTAATTTAGAAGAATTTTTAAAATTCCTAAATTATGATTCGTATTAAGTATTCTGTAATGAATATTATTCCAGAAATACCTTTCATCATATGAAGATGTGATAATTCGTTTGATTAACGAAGTTGTGATCTCATAATTTGTCCGGGCCCACCAGCGGCCGAGCGGTTAAACCGCTGAACACTGGTAGTTCGGTCCGAGGTTCGAATCCAGCGAACGGGCTGGCTTGCATGGGCGTTTTCGTGGTTTTCCCCATGTGTAACGTGTATACGAGCCAGTTTTTCTTAGAAAAGTCCTCCACGAAGGCATCCATCTCCTTAGGCAGATAGCCCTAGTGTGCTTTGCCGTAATTAAGTAAACCAAAAACCATAATTTGTCCGGCAAGTTGTAATTCTACTGATTCATGCCAGTTTACGAGCAAATTAGCAGCTGTAGGAAGTGTTATGAATTATTATTTTATTATTGATGATTGGATCTATTTGTAAAGTTCAAAATGAATTTCATCTATCAACACTGAAATAATCATAAGGAAAAATCGTTGTTCTAAACAAATTCATTGTTTTATACATTTTAGTTATAAAAATTGTCGTATTTCAATTATTATGCCATCCGTCTATTTTGGCCAGCTCTAAATTTTTCCGGAAATCTTTACTGCATTTTCTAATGAAAGATTAGTTGAATTTTATTTATTTATTAATGATTATCTCTAAATGTTATGCATACTTATATTCATTTTTCATTTTCTTTTCGAGAATCTTCTTTTTGAATGTATTTATTTTTCTTCTTACTTTAGCTATTTATAAATATTGTGTACACAAACATTTGTATTTAATTTTTGTTCCACTTTAAGATCATCTTCTCTACAGTTGTATTGAATTTTACTATGATTTATAACGATTTATAAATTATATATACAATAATCCATTTTTCATTTCTGGCTACATTTTAAGCACATTTTCTTCATAAATACAGTGGTACTTCGGTGTACGTCATTAATCCGTTTCGGATCCTTGGGCGCATGCCAAACGAATTTTTCCACAAGAAATAAAGCTAAAATAATTCTTTACTGAATGTAGCAACAAGCGTATTGACGCCCATGGAAACTCCTAGCATTGTCTCGAAAGAGGTAAATAAATGCAATAACTCGAAGAGTCGTATTTCAACCAAATATCATGTATTCTAAGTTGGACGAATTTCAAAGAGGAGGTATGCCGAGGTGCCATTGTATATTAAATTTAACTCTCTTTATTGTTGTTATTTATAAATATTATGTAGATGCATATTCATTTTTCATTCCTGCTTCCAAAACACCTTTTTTTAAATACTCTTAATTTAACTGTCATTTTTTGTTTTTTTATAAATATTGCATATATACGTATTTATTTTTTTTTTTCGGTATTCGTTTTAAGAACATCCTTTTATTTTTTTTTCAGAAATGTACTTTATTTTATTTAATCTGAAAATTCAATGTTTACTTTGTGAGGTCTGTTTATATAACTATAATTTATGCATATGCCAGTTAAAATAAGCCTTGAAAATTGTTTGTCGGTAAGAACAGAAATATAGTTTGTGAGAAGCATTCTAAGACTTAATAAATTATGTCTTTTAGTGTTCTGTTTCGTGGTATACAATTCGTTGCGTACACCTACATTTACAATAACTGGCGGTTAGTCACACTTCCTTGGAATTCGATATGGACATGGTGGATTTGCTTCCTTGGAGTGGATTTTGGATATTATTGGCTGCATAGAGCTAGTCACGGTAAGAATATATAATTTAAGAAGCATATACTCTTTTGTATTCAATTGATTGCTCGATTTATAAATTTGTGTCGGGTTAAGGGGATAGACGCGACAAGAATAGTTTTGAATACATTATTCCTTATACTTTTATTGAACAGAATTGTGACACTATATATGTTGATTATTTTCATTCTTTTTCATATAGCCGCTATCAATGAAAAACATGATCTGTCGGCTAACAGGATATGATTCTAGGATATGACAACGAGCCAAACGCTGCTATAACAGGAGAGAATTCTTTAATGTTGAGGCAAAAATAAACAGGCATAATCGTCGTTGACGAAATGGATGTCAAAAGATTTTGGAAATAATCAGAACGTTCCCACTTCGCAAACGCATTTTATTAAGAAGTCCTAATGATGCAGTCGGAGAGAGAATAAACGAAAGCGTATACAGAAGCGTGTTTCAAGCACCATAAAATTAGAGTTGCAACATAAGAACGCATGAAAAAGTGCTTCGATCCTAAAGCACGATCCCGGAATTCATGACATGTGCCAGGGAATTTATTTAATGCGACCCATGAAGAAATAAATAATTAAAAAAATTAAATAACATGTTACGTATATAAAATAAAAGTGTACGTAAAAAGTTATGCTTACGTCGTGAAATTGATGACAGAGCAGGAAAAAAAGTTTTTTTTAGAATGATCATTCTATTTTCAATGATTTTTTAGAATGATAGTTTCGAAACTATCATTTTGATACCAATAAGTTATGCAAATAAGCCAATCGTTTCGATACGGTGGGAACTGGATTTTTGTGCTTTTATAATTTGTTATCATTCTATAGTTATGTTTGTTATTATTCTGCTTTTATGCTTATTAATGAACTTTATTAGTTGTATTTAAATGAAAGGGAGCATTACCGGTATCATGCGGTTAAGTAACTGTATGATTTAAAACATTATATATTTAATGTATTGGATAAAGATAGGATTTAGTATGAATGAAACTGATATCTTACATTCAAGCAGTGTGAAGTTTCGTTGATCGGCTAAAGTAAGGTTTCTTAAACTTTTTGGTATGGGGACGCTCTAATATTTACAAAACTTTCGTGGGACCCCATAAGCGTTGCGCAAATCTGACACATGCGTGAGTTAAACTGTCAGTTTCTTCAATGGTACTGTAATATACTATTGAAGTGTTGGGTCATTAACTTTAATTAAGTAAAATGAACGTTTCTATTATAAAAAATGCGTCGAAATGTTTTATTTTTTTCTTTGACTGTATTGCCTTATCTTTATCTATTTTCAGATACATTATGTAAAAGTATTTGGTAATTGTAAAATTATTATAATAAGTTAAAGAAATATCAAAATTGCTAAAATTTTTGTCAACCCCCTTACTGCAGGTCCCGCAAACACAATTGGGGTCGCGATACACAGTTTAAGAAAACTCTGGGCAATGCGTGGACCGAAGAGGAGCACATTTGCAAGATGACATTTTTCAGAATTTTATATTGAAGAATTTTTTTCAATTTTTTTCCTAATAGTTTTATTCTCAAAGCTCTCCGTCCTGTAAAAGAATTGAATATTGATTGTTAAAAAGTAAGAATGCTGTTTTCTTCAAATTTAAGTTTTGTACTAATTTAATTCTCACAGTTTGTAGACACACTATGTATCTAACACATTTTTTCAACGCTTTGGCTTCCCCCGCACCCGAAAAAATCAGCTCAGTAAAAACGTTTCATTGCTTGGCACATGGAGTTAACGTACTGATGATAATTAATAAAACAACAAAACTTTTATTGATTTTTTTAAAATTGTTACAGAAAATATTGTGGTTACACTACAGTACCACTAAGACTATATGTCGTGACTTTTTTATAGTACTATAGAAAACAGATCTTCTTATCATTCAGGTTGAGTCCAACATTGCAAAACGTGCATTGCCATTTTGGGCGACGGAGTTCAGCTCCTGTACTGCATAAAGCACACGATAAAGGTGTCCTAGATACTGGAATATGTGCTGCTTCCTATTGGCGAATTTCAAATGAAACAAAACGTTTGTATTTTCTGTCACATGTGTGAGATGCCTTCAAGTTTTTGTTCACGTTTTCCATGTTTGTACCAGTGCTGTCAATCCTGTCGCTACAGAAATTCGAAAATCTTTCAGTCGTAAGAATTGACCTTCATTCTTCATAGAGAATAAGACGTACGAATTTATAACTGTCATTTCGACGAAATGCCAAAATATACGAACGTTGGGGAAAGACTTAGCAGCTGTTGCACAAGTGATACTGAAATTTAATTATACAAAGTAAAAAAAAAAAAAAAAAGGGGGTATTACTTTCAGAAAATGCCGATATTTATGAAACACAGCAATTTACCCTGAAATTTGCTCTGCATGCCGAAACATTACGTCCTATGCTACCTATTTATGCTAATGAACCACGCGATTACATTCTATAGAATTCTGAATGGATTGTTTCAGTGACAGATAACTGAAAGCTAAAGGGTTGTGGAGAAAATTTCTGTCACATAACTATTGTAAGTAGCAAGCACAGTCAATTTTCACTTAGATCTAATAACAGTAATCTCTATCCCCCATCTCAAAATAAAATAAAAAAATACCGTTACATATAATCATTCAAATTATGAATGTTATTCTCTTCGGAACATTACGTTTGCATTTGTATGAAATGAAGGGTGTAATGGATTTTACTGAAAGTGCACTAGCAGATAGCCGTATATTTTAGCTCTTAGCAAATAGCTAAGAAAGTTTTGAAACTGATGTAACTCTAAAGAAGATATTTCATGACTTTATAGCACACAGAAAACATCAGTAATAAGTTTTAAACTTTTATTTCTCAATTTGCATAGCAATTTCTTTATTTTTCATAATTTATTAATATCATTATGATAGCTTTTGATCCAAAGAAAAGAATATAATAAAATGATTACAGAACATTTGTTATTATTTTTTAGAAAATTCATCTAAATTTCCTTATATTTGTTTTTATTAGTTTTCTATTCAAATGCGAATATTGCATTATCTTCTCATTCGTTTGGTTATATATATGTTGTTTTCTTTTGTTGTGCACTTCATTGTGTCATGTCTGAAAACCTAACAGTTCAGAAGTGCGCTTTGGATTATGGATTTATATCAGTTTGACTACAGGATTGTTCATAAACCTGAAATATTTAATTTTACTGCAGATTATTTTACAATGGCACTAAATGATAGACATCATATTCAGACTTCTGTAACACAGGATGTATTAGAATTATTTATGAAAGTGTACGCTTCCGGAACCTTCGTGTCAGCAGATGATTGTAGCAGAATTAAAAAAAAATATATCTCCTAGGCCTGCTTTTTAAACTTTTTCTATGCAAAAGGATATTTTATACTGTAAATAAATGAAGCGAAGTTCTCGTTGGCAGGATCAGAATGAACTAGTAGATCTAAAAACTCTAGTGTTAAAGGATTTTACAGGAAAATCATGACTCACGTACGGCTGCATGCTCAGTTTAACACAGGACTCTACACCGCATTCAGCAGTCATTTTTCTGTAAGGAAAATGCATAAACAAATTTAGAATTATGTTAAATATTGTCACTCCTGTATCCAAAGGCGAGGTTAAAGACATTTTCATAATGCTTCCCATCTCAGATTACCTGTAGCTAAACGCCCTACTGAATGAATTGCAGTGAATATAGTTGGGACCCTTCTATCGACTTCGGTAGGCAATAAATATAGTAATCGACTATTTTTCTCGATGGTCTGAGGCTTATCATTTACAGGGCAACACAACACAAATAATAATAGAAAAATTAGAACAATTTGTTTCTTTACATCAGGTATCACACTAAATAATAGATATCAAAAGATGCGGGGTAAGGTAAAACGTATTATGCAAAAGAAACCGCTATGTTTATTAGGAGAAGAAGAATGGGATGGATAAAAAAGAGAATAATTAAATGATTGAAAGTTTTGGGGGGAAACTAAATTGGGTGAACTATTGAGATGGATGTTTAATAAAAGGATTTTACTTGGAGAGTTGGGAAAAATTAGTTGGAAAGAAGTATTACTGATAGGAAATTAGAAATTTAAGAAATCAAATGAAATTAATTTTATTAAAACGTAATTAAGATGGTTACTACGAAAGAACTGGAGTGGTTAGATTAATGAAGGCTATTATGTGTTAATGAGCCAGGTGGGGGCTATACGTTTAGAGTTTGGTGTCTCTAGGAATGGGGAAAAAAGAAAATAGCTTACGGTATCGTTTGATTAAAAAGGGTTTTTACGTATTGGCACGATTAAAAAGGGCATTGACTTGCGAAAGAGTTTTTTATAACAGTAGACGGGACTAATAAAATTCTTGTATTGGACATTAAAAAACATACTGGGTAGAAAAGATAATACTAAATCGAACAGTTATTACATCAAACAACTTGACAAAATAATAAGACAAGTAGTAATTAAGCTATGAATTTAATGAGATAAAATTTAACATTTATAAGGTCTCATTTAAATTCTTTAACCAGTTATTTTATGTTAAACTACTTCCCTATGTCCTTAATTTCCATTTTCCTGCCAGAAAATTTATAGCTAATATGATATTCAAATGAGGTAGAAAGAAGAGGGTATTTAAAGGAAGGTTTTAGATGGTAGAACCAGAGCTTGTTCTGCCTGTTAAAGGCCACGCTGCTAATTTGATTTCCTTGCGAGTAGTATTCTACGACGTTGCGTTTTTCTCGCCATTAGGCTATGTAAATGCTATGTAATCTTCTGGCTATGTAAATGCTGTTGTTAACATCCTAACAAACTCCCGAGGCGGTCTCTTGAGGCCCCAGGGAGTTGTTTCTGGTTTGTGGAGGGCGCGTTTACCTTTATTAAACATGAGGCATCCCCGTCCTCTATCACCAACCAACCTACTGAGTCGATGCAGTTCTTGCTCTGTATTATGCATATCATTTCGAAATAAAGAGAACTTATTGTTCGTTCCTGTCTCTCTCTGTTTGTCGAGTTTCATCACTTTCTGGCCACTCCTTCTTGGTGCTATATTTTTAATGTCGGGAAGTGTATTAACAGTAAGCGCCGCTAAATTTGATCACGTTTGTCCGCGGCTATTTTTATAATATTAACCGAATAATAACATTAAACGATGAGAAAAAATATCCTTTCTGAAGAACAATGGAGTTTAACTAATTTAATATGAAAATATCGAGAAACATATAAGTAGGTATTTTCACAGTATTTTAATTTGAAAATGCAAACTTTTGTTTATGAATTGTTCATAATGTTATAGAGTCACTGAGTTCTTTTTGAAGCAGGAGTTGTGAAAAATGTGCAGTGTCCTCGCTAGGACTCCAACCTGTACCTCTCGAATATACGCCGAACGTGCTACCATTACACCACAAAGGCATGCTGTAAGGAGGGAGAAAATACCTAATATACTCCCCCTTTTATAAGACGACTAGGGATTAAGTTACCCAGTCGCCAAATCCTAGTGGTGACGTATAATTGTTCACCAGCTTTTAGTTCGGATACCACTCAAGAGTCATTAGGTTATTTTTGAAGCAAGAGATGTGAAAAATGGGCAGTGCCTTTGCCGGGATTCGAACCTAGACTTCTCAAATACGCGCCGATTGTGCTACCATTACACCACAAAGGCATGCTGGAAGGAGGGAGAAAATACATGATAATATCTTTAATGCAAAAGTTCATTTATGAACTTTTTGTAATCTTCTGGAAATTATTTGACCCATGCTGTACTCCTGATCTTAATATTTGGAAGGCATCCCTCATTTGAAGAAAGCTTGCAAATATAAAATTTTAAATTAAACAAAAAAGCAATCTTAGTTTGTCGTAGATGTTTTGAGAGCGTCCGTTTTTCAAGCTAAACGAAAAAATTCTTAAGATTTTTTTTTTCGCTCATGAAGAAGAAAGGCTTATGTCTGATCGCCGCCAAATTCGATAGAGCTGTGTAAAATCTAAGTCTAATTAAGCCTGCTTTTTCATGTAATTTTAAATGGTTGAATGAAATCAAAGCCAAGCTATTTGGCAACTTAACCCATCACCTAGCGACATTTCTATGTCAGTTAGTAGTTTTTGTAATCATTTTTGACCTGATTTGGCGATTTTATCCCTTATTTGTTGGTTTTACTTCAGTTAAAAATTATTCGTTAATACTTTGATAATATTAACAGAATTTGTTAACAATAAGCAATGCATTTTCCATGTTTTTCGTGTACAAACGAGCATCACTTCGGTTATTCGATAACAGTATTCGATTGATTACATTAACAGCGACCACATTAAGGGGCGTCTATTGTAATATATTTTACATTCTATTAAATGGTTCTATTAAAATGTGTATGATATTAAACGAGATTTACTGAACTTTTACTTTTGCAAAAAATTTTGAGGAGTATTAAGAAAGTCAATAAACATGAGAACTTAATTTAAGCAGAAGTTTATTAAATAGCAGTCCATCCATTTCCATGCTTAATTAATATTATACTAATAATATGTTTATTTTAAGAATGACTGAAATTCGAGGGTTTGTTTTCCCCTGAATATTTTGATTGTCTTGCTAAAATAGGTATTAATATCTTAAACTGTCATGTTGGTTGTGATAAATGTATGCTTCTTTCAAATGTTGCAATTCTATTTATTTTAAGTGCTTTGTAATCGTTGTATTTAATTTTAGGAATTTTTACATAAATGATTTATGCTTTTTTCATTTGGCAGAGATAAATATTTTATGGGCAGCTCATCAAGTTCATCACAGTTCTGAAGATTACAATTTATCAACCGCACTAAGACAATCTGTTCTTCAGAATTATTCCGTGTGGGTGAGTAATTTTTTTTTCTGTCCGTATTTTAGATCTTCACTTGACAGCAATACACTAAACAAGTCAAAAAAATCTGTCTATCAATTGAGAGTGAAATTTCGGAGCTGTTGAAAACAATTCTGGTTTTTTTATTTGTGGTAGTGAACTGGAAAAATTACATTATTATTTGTTAAGATGTTAATAAAATTATTGATAATTTCACAGTAAACAGTACGAGATATTCATGGATTGGCAGTTTTCTAGGAATGAAAGGAAATATTTTATTTTATTCATTAAGCTCTCTACACAAAACTTTTAAAATATATAATAAGTATCAGTTCTATTATAACTGAAAAAAATAAGGTAAAAAAATTCTTTTATAAAATGGGCTTTTATTTATAACTCATAAAGTAATTAATGACTAAAAGAAGAAAAATAATTTCTCATGCAATTTATTTTCTTAAATAAAAAATACAATTAAAAAAGGTGTTTATGCAATAAACTTTTATTTAAAATGGATAGTTATGAACTAGAGAAAAATAATATATAATAAATGAACTAAAGAAAAATAATATATAATAAATGAACTAAAGAAAAATAATATATAATAAATGAACTAAAGAAAAATAATATATGATGCACGTTCACGGGAATAACAAATTAAATAATTCTTATGAAATTCATGTACAATTTTATATCACGAATAATAAAATCATGGGCGTCAAAATAAGGAAATCTGTTAATCGAATTACAATGTCAAAAGTATAACTATTATCTTTATAAATTTATCAAGTGTGCTTAATGCCCATAAATAAATATATGGTAAATTATTTGTCTTCTTTATTTCATTTATTAATTTATTTGTTTTAAAAATTTTTACGTTACTTATTTGTATTAAAAATCTTATAACATATACAGTTTTGGATGTTAGACTTCTAAAGCTACATAAAAGAATAATCTATAGTAAAATTAATAAAATCGTCCGATTTCATTAAAATTGATATATTGAGAAAAATGTAAATACATTTATAAGATGGAAAAAATAAAAATGAGGCAATAGTTTCATTGCAAATAATTTTAAACACTAAACAATCTTTAATATATGTTGCTTTTGAGATAGTAAGCAAAGATATCTGTACAAAAATGATGATTCATGTGATATAATGACATCACAACCTTGAAAATGATACATATGCAAGCCATGCAATGACCGCAAGACTTTTGCTTGACACTGCAGCATATTTTTTAACTAGATGTATAAAAGAGGCCAATTAATAATTTTTTTAAAGGCTATTTTTAAGGTACCAAACTTTGTCATAAAATTACGCTCTGCCGAATCCGTTTATACTATGCTGATAGTACGCGAAAGGATTAGTGTAACGTTTCGTTAATAGATGGCGCGCGCTACTAGTTAATGAAGTACAACGGCCGCGCTGAAACCTGCTTAGATGTTAAATATAAACGAAACATTAAAAATAAATAAATAAATAAATAAAATAAATTAAAAAATCTGAAAGGTTTCAGATTTTAAATAACGTCCAAACGGACGTTTTTCTAACATTTTGTCTGTTACCTTTATTTATTAAATATCACGTTCTTCGCACTTAAGTTCAGTTCAAGAGCAATATCTTAAAATAATTTTAAGTTGAGCATACCTTTAGAATTTCCGATACAGAGTCCCGCCCGCTGGAGATAAAAGTGTTTTTTCTGTACAACGTTGCCATTATTCGCTTTGAAATCCTTGAGTTTGTTAATTAAAAAATCGTTTAAGTTTTACAAAATATGAAATCGATAATAAAACAAATTCCAAATTACGGCTACCAGATCGCTACATTCGGTGAAAGATTACGTTATTCAAAATTTGATGACTCTAGGTACCATTGTTTTATCAAAATGCGAGAAACATACATACATTTATGCAGATTCTTTATTATTTAATTTCTTTAAATATAATACAGGACTCTAACATTTTGTGGCAACAGTTTGAAAAGTGAAACAAAGCTTGTAGTGAATCAACGCAAAATGCCAAAAGGAAATTAATAGTCCTTTGTGGGCAAATTGCCTCTTTAAACTAACAATTTTTCAAAAATAATCGATTACGCAAAATTGAATTAAAACTGAAAGAAATTATAGTTTTTTAATAAACGTCTGATGCATAATAAATACAGAAAACGATACTTAATGAATTTCAAAACTAAAAAAATTAAATAAAATTAAACAAATTAATTTAAAGGCTATCTCTATTAGCTTGATTCGAACTAAAAAGTATGAAGTAAAGTAACTATATGACTTCTTGACCACAACATTCAAAAACTGCAGTTGTTCTTAATATCTTTATATTTATGATTAATAAATATTAAATATTTATTATTATATTTTATTATAAGTATTTATTTAAATTAATTATAAGTATGTATTATAAATAAATATTAAATATTTATGATTATATTTATTATAAATATAAAGATATTAAGGGCAACTGCAGTTTTCGATTGTTGGTGTCAAAAAATCATATAATTATACTCTCTCATACATTTTAGTGTAAATCAAGCTAATAGCAATAGCCTTTAGATTTTAAATATTTTATTATAATTCTTGTTTTAAAAGAGGACGAAATATTGGTTTTATAATCTGTAAAAATTTTTTAAATTTATATCCAATGCATTTTTATTTGTTGAAATTTAAAAATTGTAGACGTCAAATAATCGAAAAAATTGTGCAATTTTCGAAAATTCGCCAAAAGTTTGGAATTTAAATTACAGTTTTCGTATAAATTTTCTATAATTTTTTTTTCTGCTCTATTCGATGATGCAAATAATAGAATTCTTAAATAAAGATATGTGAGAAAACTCTTTTAAACATTAAATAAAAAAATATAAATAAATTTTGGAAACATTGCTTCACCACATTGCATTGCCATCGACAAATAGTGTGTGTACAGAATTTATATCGATAGCTTCTCAGGAAAGAGGTTAAAAATGTAATGGCGAAATTCAGATCATAGTGAAACACCCTGAGTAAACTTAATAAAAGCTTATAATAATAATATTAATAATCGATGTCCTTTCTATTTCTGGTAATAATGTAAAAATGTCTATCTTAACATAACTGTGGAACAAATTTACGTAATTTTTGTGGATATATTTATCTCTATCATATCTTGAGATGATATTTTTCAGGTGTTCTACTTGCCTATGGCTCTAGCTGTTCCACCTAGTGTGTTTTTAGTCCACAACCAGTTTAATTTATTATACCAATTCTGGATACATACCGAAGTAAGCGAATTCTCTTTTTCATCTGGTCTTCTTAACTACCTGTGTAATGTAAGTTTAAAATGTAATGTATATTTTTGCAGGTAATTCGCTCGTTAGGGCCTTTGGAATATGTTTTAAATACAGCTAGCCACCACAGAGTTCATCACGGTAATAGAAAGTTTATTGTTGGAGAAATTCAAGCTAAAGTAAAGTAATGTAATAACTGCAGTACATTAAACCCTTGCCGAATGCGATTTTGCGTATTCCCATTATCTTGACTGCGTCCATTTAATTTGTCCAACCTGAGAATTTCGATTATACCTGGTACGCTGCAGAGCGCCAGCCGCGTTTGATAGTTGCTTTAATATCTGGTTTGCAAATTCATTCATTAAAGAAATCAAATAATGCTGAGAATAGCAAAACCTGAGCATTAAAGTTCTGCTAATTCTCGATAATGTTGAATCCTTCACAACGTTGGATCCATATGTAGAGGTTTTATTCCTTCCACCGAACACCACTTCCTTAATCCAACAATAAATAGAGGGATCATAAAAAAACATTCAGAGCCTATTATGTCAGGTATGTTTACATCTCTGACAAAAAAGAAAGCATTAGGCGAAGAAAAGCACAACACGCTAAGGGTTTTTAAAAGCAATTCAACATACAAGAAACTGCACAGAAATGATTAACCTCGCATGGGAACAAATGAATTCAGAAATGATTGCTGGAAGGCATCAGCTCTGGCCAGAAACTGTTAACAGTTTTAAAGGATTTTCATCGACTGAAAATAAGACCAAGGGAATAGTATAAATTGCAAAAACAATAGGCGGCGAAGAATAGATATGGAAGAAGAAGAAATAAAAAAATTAGTTGAGAATGACGATTGTGAAATGAAAAATGAAGAATGGGATGATCTTAGAACACCAGTAGCAACAGATAGTGAAGCAACAACATAAGCAGCAACAAAATATTCCCTACCGCGACACGTTTAATGAGTTGCATTAGGCATTGTCCCAAGCAAAAGTCACCAGTTAAATAAAGAAATAATTGTATCATATACTTATGCTATCATACACTTACGTAATCGAAATCCTTTCCATTACCATTTATTTCATTTTTCCCTATGAATTAATATAATATTTATATTTCTATAAATTACACATTCTTAACGTGGTTTTGCTGTACGCGGAGTGTGTTAAGGACGTAATTCCTGCGTTCGCCAAGGGTTTACTGTAGAGTACTCTAAATGAAAAATACTTTTTATGGTTAAAAAATTATAAATATACTTTGCATTAATTAATTATTGAAAATTGTTGATATTCCTTGCTCCCTTTAGGCAGGAACAGATACTGCATCGATAAGAATTATGGAGGTACTTTGATTATTTGGGACAGAATATTCGGAACGTTTGAACCAGAAAATGAAGAGGTGGTTTATGGACTCACACATCCTGTCAGTACATTCGAGCCTATATATATTCAGGTAGGAAAAAAGTATTAACCGACTAAAGTCACTGTTCCAAATTATCTTGCCGTTTTAGTTTAGTTGAAGAATAATTGTATAAAGTTCTGAACATTACTAAAGCAACTGAAAATATTTTAGTTTAATTTATATAGTTCGTATATTCATTAGGTTCAAAATATTTTTTAAAATTTCATTAGCATTTCCTATTCTACTTATGTAGAATGAATTAAATTTTCTAATGTTGAATACCGCATAGTATCTGCTCAGAATTCAATGCATCAGTCAACATTCGAGGTATAAACGTGAAGATTTGACACCTGAATTAAGCTTGTAGCGCTTGTGTGTAATAAAATCATCTTATAACTACACATAAGCTCGGAAAGGTATCAAAGGGAACCTTTGCCGCGAATTCTCGTTAAAGGCAAGGTTCAGTCGAACAGAAACATTGAATAAAATCAAATTAGCTTTAAGAGTCCTCTACTTCTGGTCTTAAAAAAAAAAAAAACCAAACTTACTCTCAACTAAAAAACTATAACACTCTAAATAAGGCACCAACCCACTTGACATGACATTAACAGTACGATAAAATATGAGCTCGCTGAAGTTACAATATAAATTTAATTTAATAGGAACCGCAATTTGCTAGCGGATAAAAACGCGTTTCAAATTTTAATTGTGGCCTACCACTTATCTGTTTTACTGGACTCTCTCACACAGGCACGGTTTACCATCAGCCATCCACCAACCCTTTTAATTCCGAACTTACGACCTTTTCCTTGCGTGACTGAAGTAGGAAAGAGCAATAAAAATGCAGATTAAAATAACTTGTTAGTTGAAGTAAAAATAAATTATCACAAGTTAAAGGAGTCCTGATTAATCTTAATCCTAATCCTAAATTAACGAGTCTATTGTTTCCATTTTTCTAACGTAGACTCTATAAACCATTAGCAGACTGATATAAAAGTTAAGCAGTCCATAAGTGAATTATATTTAAAAAATCTGAATGTTTGCGTTAAACAGCTGAACAAAAATGCATTCTATACTTCGAATGCACAACAAAAAATAATGGCCTCACAACAGATATTAGAAATCTTTCCGTCTACGATATGCTGGCTTTAGAGTGTTTCTTTCTAATGTCTTTCAGACAGTCGCTTTAGTATTGTCGAAACCGATGTTTTCAGTGTTATATTTAAGCTAGTGAACAAGGGATAGCCTCATACACATTTTATCTCATATAATCACAGGAACTTAAATTCAGGTGTTATGGCCTCATGTCGATGAATTTTACGTGGGGCTATGGTTACAAAGCTTCGTGCATATGGTTCTGTGGCATAATTCCTGCCTCAGAACTTTCGGAAGTTGTTCGTTTTTGTTCGAATAGGACACTTTTCGAATTTGTTTTAAGACAAAAGTATTACTTCATATTTACGATAAATCACACAGCTCACTCATTTCCCATTGTTAGAACTAGTTTTTTGGAAATGAGAGTCCAACGAACATATTCAAGACTTGCTGTACTCTATAGATTTTGGAAAACAAAAGTGCATCGTTGCATTTAGAAAAGGCTGCTGCGTTAGGTAACTGTGCTTTCTCTTGGTGGAAGCCTGGTGAACACAAATAAAGTAAAAGTTTGTTCAGTCGAATTAAGCGTAATGATATCAAATGAGAATCAAATGGAAAAGTCAAAACATAATGATTTTGAAACTCTCATGCTGACTTGTGTAAATTTACTTTATCTGTATTAAAAATGGGCAAAAACAGCTCTTTTATGGGATCGGATCAGAACCGTTCGCTCACTGAAATGAATCTGTTCTTTTTTGTGACTCGCCGCTCACTAAAAATAAACTTGATAGAAAAGGTCCGGAACGAGGAAGGAATGAAGAGAAGTTAGCAAGGTTGAAGCGAAGAGCGAAGAGAATCGAACGAGTGGGATCGGTGTTAGCTAGGTTGGAGCGAAGAGCAAAAAGAATCGGACGAGGAGTAGGATCAGATACATTGACCCAATCAAACGCTAATTCCCTGAACTGATTACTTTTACTTGTAGTTTGAGATACCCGATAACCTGCTTTCTACACAGAATTAACAATAAAATTCTTTTAATATCAGAGGATAAACATTCTTTTCTCTCCTAAGATAGAAATCGAACTTTTCTCGCACGATTCCAAGAAGAGCTGCACTCTTTTTCGCGAATCAGACTTTAGCTCGCTTAGTAAAGTGAATCATTTTGCAAACGAATAGCAAATCTCTATTCCTGGCATGCTTCCAACAAGAACTGTCTTGTGGGCTGTAAAGGAGCTGCAACTTCATTTTCTGGTATTGGAGTTAATTCGCGTAGTGAAGTGATTTGGTTCTTTGAGTTAGTTTCGGAATGGATTGCTCAATTCTAATATCTGCAATCAATTTCCTGATCTAGTGCAATTTCAAATTATGGGCTAAATAAGTTGTGCTATTGTATGTAAATTTCACCAAAAGTGCTTTAAAAGAACATTGTTTAAATTTTAATGTTTCTAATTAAACATTTATATATGGTTTTAGTTATGCCACTACTTACACATTTGGAGAACATTCTGGGAAACACAAGGTCTCAAAAACAAATTGTCTGTTATATTCAAAGGTCCTGGTTGGTCACCCGAAAAGCCCTGGCATGGATGTATTGACGATATACCAGATGTAAGTATGAGTATTTAAATAATAAGTTAAAAATATCCATTTTAAAATATGCTATTTTTTGTGAAACTGAATTAATAAATTACTCAGGAAAAATACTACCGAAAATAAGAAAAAGGCTGAATATTTTTGAACGCGGTAATTTAATTAACGAGTTAAATTAAGCAATTGTATGCCAAATATTAAAAAAATTGCATCAGTACATCATATTCATTAAATTTGAATTTTTCTGTAATTAGAATCTGATTTTGTTTCTGAAAATTTTTTATATTTGTAAAATTTAAAATAATGATAAGCGGAGGCGAGCAGTAAATCTAATAAATCATTTTTACCGAATCTTTTGTTCGTATTCTTAGTCTAATTGCTATTTTTACGTTATTTATGTGCAGTTATTTGTATTATGATTATGTTGTATGCTCTATATTATAGAAAAAAGTAAGGGTAGGTCGATGAAGAAAGCTATCCTTTTAAAAGGGTTCCATGCAAGACAACGATTGGGAATCCTTGGTTTAAATGACAATTCCTTAATTTTATCATCTATACGTTTTTCAGATTTGAAAATGCATAGATCAGTGGTTCTGAACCTTTTTACTAACGCGTAACATCTAAACAAAATTTGGAAAACTTTAGTACCATAACTACATTACTTTTCAATTTCTGAATAGAAATATTAAAAAAAAAATATATTTTGCCAATATTGGCTATTTCAATTAAATATTCACTCACAAGAAATATTAGATTAAAAATTGGTTACCGTTTTAATTATCAAAATTTAAGTTATAATACTTTAATTCTAAAATTTAGTGTGAGATTTGGGCCTATTTAAAAGTGATCTATTTTTTTATATCTGGCCATATTTCACTTAGATTTGACCGTAAATTAGGATGCACTTTTATTTTTCTTCTGTATTTATTTTGCAAATATAGAATGGAACACAATCCTTGTTCACACAAGTACGTTGTGCAAAAAGACTATAAAAACTTAATACCTTTATTTGAAATGCCTTTAAATTCTTTTGTTTGGTTCAGTCAAATGCTAACAAGCTATTTTTGGAATCTTCAGTTAGACTTACTTCTATCACAGGAAATTTCTATCAACTGTCCGTTTTCTTCAGGAGATAAAATTTCAGGACACTGTAGAGACATTAGGTTATTTCGAAGCGGGAGATATGAAAAATGAGCAACGCCCTCGCCGGAAATCGAACCACGCATCTCTGGAATACGCGCCCAGCGTGCAGACCACTACACTACAAATTCATGCTAAGCAGGCGGGAGAAATGCCTTATTACATTTGTAGAAAATGGATTTCTGATCAAATTCTCTTTCTCATAATCCTCGACAAAATACGTTTTGAAAATACGTCAATGAAAAACGGTGAATATAGGATGTTAATTGTTCCTTTATTTTCAAATTATTTTCGATTAGAAAACTTTCCGAAAGAGTCAAAAGGCTTAAAATATTTTTATCCAATTCTTTGATTATTAGGTCGAGTTTTTTTTATCATTACATTTATTTTATCTCTAATGGTAAACATATTAACACTTTGTCCTTGTCCTAAATTTAATTCATTTAACTTTCTAAAAATATCGGCTAAATTTGCTAAATGCGCCAACCGTAATTCGCTAAATAAATATTTTTGAAATTCAAATTTTGAATCACAGAAGAAAATTTTAATTTCTGATCAAAATTGGAAAACGCGATTTAAAACTTTGCCTCTGGATAAACACCTTAGTAATGTAACAAAAGCTTTTCATGTTCACAACTTGGCATAAAATAGTATATATTCTTGAATTTAAAGCTCGGCCTTTAACAAAATTAATAATTTTTACAGCTTGATTCAAAACGATTTTCAGGTTTTCGGGGAGTTTTGGCTACTAAAGCTTCGCGATGAATGGAGCAGTGAGTAAATTTAGTTCCAGGTGCAACTTTCTTTATTTGAGAAATAACACTGGAATGTTTTACTGTTAAAGCCCGAGCTCCGTCACTGCGTACGGCAATGCACTTATTCTAAGGAATATCATTCTTAGACATAGAATTGTCAATTATTTTGAAATTTTCATTTAGAGTTGCTCTATCATGAAGAGATTCACAAAATAAATTATCTTCGGCAGTTCGTTTATTTTCTCCAAAACGTATGTAACCTAATAATTGAACAAAGTTCGCTATATCAATACTTTCGTCCAACTGCAATGCGAAATAGTCTCTGTGTTTTACACTGCTGGCCATTAAAACTGCAACACAAGGAAGGAATTATCTGACGAACGTGAAAATTATATGAAAGGAAGAAGCAGTTGGGATGTGCAAATGATCAGTGTTTTAGCACATTTAGACGACGCAGGAAGAAACGACATCTGAAGCACTGCATAAAAGAAAGGTTGCATAATGGATATCTCATTCGGAAAGTACTTTGTAAGGTTGGAGGTTGCTCAGAATATCGTGCTATGCCCCGAATAAGAAGAGGAAATGATTACCAGCAAATTTCGAAATTCGACAGAGGCAGGATCGTTGCCTGTAGAAAGTGTAGATTATCTGTCCGTGATATCGCCGGTCGCACTGGTCGACATCCAATCACTGTCATCCAAATATGGAATCAATGGATTGCTGAGAGTCATTCTGAACGTCATGCAGGATATTAGCCCTCTCCCATGACTAACGCTAGATAGGGCACACATATTGTGAGGTCAGCTGTACAAAACCGTACGATCACATCACGGACCATTAGTCAGGAAACGAGCATGTTTGTAGCACGCCCAAAATCAGCTCGTAAGATGCGTCGACGTTTTCAGCAGAGTGTACTATCAGCAGGGTGACCGTTACTTCGGCTTCTATTAATAATGAAGCAAAGAGAGAGACGGCGACTCTGGTGCGCTGAACGACAAAGCTGGGTACAGGGGTTACACAATGTCCCTGTTCTACGTGCAGTATTCTGATGGCCGTATACGTGTCTGGAGTGTCCGGGAAGACCGCACGTCGCCTGCTTGCCTACGATATCGACATAGGGATCCTGCACTGGTGTGATGGTTTGGGCAGCTATTGGGTACACTAAACGCACATCTCTAGTTTGACTCGACGGTAATTTGAGCGTAGATGGGTACATTTCTGATATCTTAAGTCCAGTGGTTGTGCCTTATCTTCGACGCCCTCAAACGCCATGTTCCAACAAGATAATGCAAGACCACATGTTGCACGTCGTGTTCTGATCTTTCTTGATACACAGGGTATTCGATTGCTGCCCTGACCTGTACCGTCTGCAGATCTGTCACCCATTGAAAACATCTGGACATGGGTTGCTGAAAGACTGGCCCGCCACCCCTCTCCAGCTAATACGGTTGATGAAGTATGGCATAGACTTGAAGCAGAATAGAATGAGTTGCCCATTTCTGTTATCCTAGCCCAATTTGACTCCATGCGTAATGGGGTACGGGCCGTATTAGCTGCCAGGGGGGGGCATCTGTTTCTACTAATTTCGCACCCCTGTAAATCTCCAAAATGCTTAAAAATTTAATCATTTTGTCTACATGCCATTCTGTTTACGTGCAATAAATATCTTTTTTGTATTTGCTTTCCTTCATGGGGCTGCAATTTTAATGGCCAGCAGTGTATTTTTTGAATTTATTTTATGGAATATGAAATTTCATAACTTCGTTGACTGACTGTAGCATTTGATAACGGAATGTTATTAAGTTCATCAGCCGGTTTTCCTTGAATAATGTTAAAGCGATATCTTTATTTGCTGTTAATATAAGGTTTTCTCCAATAGTGTAATGAAATTGGGAATTCTTAGGCTTTGTAGGTAACTATCTTTCAAAGCTTTTTCACTTGAAGTGACAAAACCCTTCATTACTTGTTTACTGTTTTTGAACTCTGATAATATTTCTTTTAAAACATTCTTCAAATTTATCTTTTAAATTGGCATGCTTAGATTCAAGATGTCTTTTAAGAAATGATGGTTTTATTCTTTGATTGGCACATTGGATAAACTGAGGTTAAGTGTCCATTTCACATCTAGTCTAAGTAAACCCAAATGATAAATAACTGACAGTATATTTTCTATAAATAATTTTTCTTTTCTTTTTAATATTCTTGGTGGTTGTAGATTGTCTTGGATCCATTAACTTTTAAACATCACTTTTCCGCTTAGTCAGTCCTAGCCATTTTTACTTCCTTGTACGAAGTAAAAAGGAAGTATTGCAATCGCGAAAAGTTTCAAGCAGCATATTTCAACGAAAATATCCATTTTGACCGCTATCGAATGCAATTTAACGATATTTTTTGCGTGATATCCTGTACGTAAGGACAAGAATAAAATACTCGCTTCCTCCAAAAAAATTGATAAAACTGATTTAAAATTAATTCTGAAGAGAAATTTTTCGTGGAGTCTGTACGAACGTATGTACGTACGTGCGTACGTACGTATCTCGCATAACTCGAAAACGAGTAGCCTTCAGAACGTTGAAATTTTGTATATAGGAACTGCTATAACATGTAGATGTGCACCTCGTATTTTAGTTGCAATCGGCCGCACCAAACATATATAAATACTATATTTATATATATATATATATCCACTCTGTTACTCGGCACAGTGATCTTAGTTTCTTTACTCTTATATGTTTGTAAATTGTACATTTTTTGCTTTAAAAATGATTGAATTATGTTGTTCTTATCTTCCGGTTAAGAGTTTTATGCCTTTCGTAATTCTGGAAGCAATATTTGTACAATTATCAACAATTTAAAAGCTGTTTAAGTGCGGTTAAATTTTAAATAACATGGCGGACATATTTGTTTACATTTGAAACAGCAGAATTGTAGATTTGTTGCCAAGTTGACTAAGCTTTGCAACAACAAAAATAACGCCTTCATTTATTATTGCGAATTAAATCATGCTTAATCCTTTCTGGAATTTTTTCGAGGAAATAAGTGTTTAAGATTTACTTCGTAATTTTTAATACGGATATTTTGAATTTTTATGTATTTTTGCCTTGTCACGAAGTGAGAACTGAATTAATTGAATGAGAAATACTAAATCGCCTGTGAAAAACTGTTTCTTTTCTGTTTTGTTTGCTTAATTTCTTTCATACATCGTTCTAGCTTTATTATAGTATTTGAATAGAACATTTGTCAACGATAAGATAATTCTTCAAATGATATAAATTTTGTGCATTCAGAGTGTCGTTATAGTAAACAAGTATAGTGAATTTTATAGAGTGCATTTATTCTATTGTGGTTTATGCGCTGTCGACGAAGTAGATTTAATTCAATCCAATCAATTTAAATGAAATTCAAGAAAAAAATGCGTATAATTTAATATTCCGTACAAGGAAGTCATGTGGTGTCCACATCAGATTTTTTTCATTTTGAAAAATCTAGATTTATTTATTATTTTCTCACAAATCTTTAAATGCTTAATATATTACAAATTCTTCAAAAGCAAACGACGGCATTCTCAAATCGCGTAGAAAAGAAGGAACACAAAGCAACAAGAAGACAAAATACCTGCTGTCTTAATTCCAGAGCATTAGATTATTTAGGCCAACAAATTGTGCTGATTGTTGAAAACACTTCAGCAATTTGAATATGATTTCAACACGTGATTGATTGGAAACCCATTAACCATGTGATATGAGAACGCAAGAATGGGAAAACCTAGTCTGTTAATTTGAATTTTGATAAACTTTACAAATTACGTCAATAGTATGGAAATTACTTTTAACTACTGATATTGTGTCAGAGTAAAGGGGTGGAAAAGAAACCTTCCCAAGCATTTTTATTAAACACATGCGTTTACTACAGGTTCAATCATGGGCTTACCGTACAGAAGTTAGTTATATTGAGGTAGAAACTTAGCGAGATGCAACAGTCATCGTTACATTTGGAACAGTGTTTATGTGGAAGGATATGTGACTCCTCGTATTGGTAATTTCTTATTAAAATTTATCTCGTCAGATTACACTGGAGTACTAAGACGAACATAAAAGTACTGAAATGGATGCATCTATGTATTAGACCAGAAATTTACAATTTACGGTCCACAGTTGGTGACGTTCTTCTAAGTCTCTTGTTATTTTTCTTGAAAACTGAGATATTTGGATACCGTAATATCTAAATAAGTTATTTCTTATTTATTGGCCGGGACAAGTTTGCAGACACGTCACGCAAGTCGTCCTTTGCGGTGATTACCTGCAAAATCAAACCGTCATCACAAATGCTTATAGTGATATCAGACTTGACAAGATGATGCAAGACTGTGTTCAGCGTTCACATCGTTTCTACCTCACTAATGACCATCGCCAACTAGAGGCGACTCCGCTACTGAGTTCAATACTGATCTTTGTGTCACCATTGAACGCCACAGGTCGTTAGTATTGAGTTATAGTTTGAGATACCATTAGCATCAACGATCAGTTATAATCTATTTTATTAAAATCTGTGCGCGTCTGTCTGTTTGTTTGTAACATCATCTTCTCCGGAACGGCTAGATTATACAGCTGTTGGTATCTGAACGTTTTGAACACTGCATGAAGAAATTTATTTTTGCTGATAGTCTTTTTTTTGTAAATGTAAAATATTTCGATAGCAAAAAAAAAAAAAAAAAAAAAAAAAAAAAAAAAAAAAAAAAATAAATAAATAAATAAATAAATAAATAAAATAAAAAAAATAATCTTCTTTTACTTGCTTTATTATAGGAAAGTCATTTTCATTAATTCCTTAAACTGGTTTTAGACTGAACAACGATATTTTAAAGTCTTTAATTCTATTGCCCTACGTCTGCTCAGTACTATGCTTGAAATCATTTGTTTTATTAGAACGAATTGTTCAGTTTTTCCGACCTCCACTGAAAAAGAACTGATAATGCTGAAAATGTTTTCCTTTATTACTCTAGAAGCTCAATAACCGCTAATTCTGGTGTTGGATTGAAATCACAGCATTTAATATAGCGAGATGGTAAGAGTTCGAAAAATGCTTCTAAACGTTTCTATTTCAGGATTCTACCAAACCATTTTATTTATTGAATACCAACATTTAACAACAGTGTTTAATAAAGTCCATATCATTTTATAATGGGATTTTTCTTTTTAAGTAATAAGTTTTGTGTTTAATTTCTGTTTGAACACTTGAGTTTTAAAGTATTCTAACAATAAAATAATTTTTCTTGAATAATGATATGAAAGACAGTTTTTTGTATATGTTGTACTGGGACAATAATTAATTATCAGTGTTTATATAAAATTTATAAAAATGGGAAAGGCGATAAAATATATAAAAGAACATGATGAAGAACTTGTTGTTGCCATGATAAGTTTTCAAAAGCTGAATAATGCGAACTGTGTCGCGTTAAGTCCCAATATGAACAAGTTTCGCCTCGCCTATCTATATAATCATAGGAAATCCGACTGTAACATCCAGTAGTTGTTAATGTTCATCACGAAGTTAAACTTGCCATACTCTCTGATATCTTCTAGTAGCAACATCTGCGTTAGTGTTGCATTGTACGAGCTCGGGATTCATGTAAAAGTTGCTGCACGAGACCAAATGTAAGGCAACTTTGTGTAATGATATCTTACCTCAATGTGGCTAGCGTGCAGGACAAAATTTCCACTTGGCTGTTGATACATTCCTATTAGTTTTGGCCTAACTAAACGGGGATTAGTTTCAAAGATTTTCGGTTCTTTAAACCAGCGAATGATATTGATAATACAGGCATTTTCGATTACCCATTTTGAAAGCAATTTATTGGACATCTAAAGGAAATGAAACTCCAAATATTTTACGTATATCAATCTTCATTTCGCTATAATTGTCCATTTAAATCATACCACATATACTTTATTGCTGCGCTCAGTGGGAAACGTTGTACCTGCCAAATGGCCGCCTTGTTAAGCAATGTTAGGAAGCCCCTTGTTAACCCAAAACGATCACGAACACTTTGCATGACACTGTCAATGATGTCTAAAGTTATGCGCTCAATTTCCTCACTGATTCTTTTCTTCAGCTCTTCCACACTTCGCACTTTGGCTGCATATAATAGTTTATCTTTAAGGTTCCCGAAAGGAATAAATCTCGGGAATTTATATCAGAGAATATAGCGGGCCATTGAATCACTTATGTCTACTTTCAAGAGTCTTCCGTCCACGCACTACAGCCAACTCTCAATTTCCAAAAATTTTTCGAAACGTTTCATTTGTCAGACATAGTGTTTCCCAAATAACTGTAGCAAATGCGCACAAAGTACAGTAATAACGTCTATGTGGCTATATAATGGGCAAGTGTAGCAAAATGAATGATGTAAAATATTTGGTGTTTCATTGCCTCTATGACCGAGTAAATTATTTCTAAATTGCTAACCCATATTATTCAACCCTGTAGTAGCCACAGTAGAAAGAGAACGATTACAGAAATATACTGCATATTGCCACTCTGACGACTGCATTTCTCATACAAGAGAACCTCCTTAGAAGAACTAATAGTGTCTAGACTCAAAAGATCCAGTCCATGTTCTGTCTGATAAACCTTATTTTAATGCCAGTTTATGCTTATTTATCAGGTAAGATATAGTGTTTCCATTTGTGTTCGATCGTTCATTCACCTTCGTTTTGAATGAACATTTCATGTAAAAAAATTATGCTTTATGTTATCTTTATGTACGTACTTACGTACGTGATTGGACGCCAAAGGATATACATTACAGGGCTTCTTTTCAAATTATTTGTATATTCAGGGCGTCATTTCATATTAAATTTGTGAAGCTCTACACGCTTGCTGCTAGTATTTTCTGTTCGCTGTCATTGTTTTTGCAAGAGGATTGCTAACTTCCAAAGCTCATCTTTAAGATATACTGTGCTTGGGGTTCCAAACCAGGAAAGCTGTCATTCCTTGGGGCTGCATGGTAGCATTCTAGGAAGTGCGAGATAATATTTTCATTTTTTTTTTGCATAAAATAAGTAATTGTTTCAAAATTACATGCACGATGTTGGTTGCATGTGAAAAACATATTCCCTGTGTATGCGTCAGTCAGTCGCATTTTTCAACGTAATATACGCTACTTAGTTTTTTTTTTTTTTTCTCTGAGTGCATTCTCTGGTGATTCTGTGTTCGTGCCCTCCTCTTTTATCTTCTGTCTCTAATCAGTTAGTTATGTTATATTATTCACTTATTGCTATTTTTCTTCTAATCAAATTGATCCATATTTTTAATATTTAAAAAATTATTATTAATGTGTATTATGCCAAAGAGAAGAAAACGGAATAATGATTATATAAAGTTTGGTTTGATTCAACTGATGACATGAAAAAAACTCCAGTCATCCTTTGTGGCGCTGTCTTTTCAAATGCCAATCTGAAGCCGTCTGAACTGGTGGAACATATCAAAAACCGGCATGGTAGTGCAGATTTTACAGGCCATGATATTGAATCATTGAAAAACTAAATGAGTCTGATTTGCTTTTCGAGAAACCCTTCCAAAATTAGGTTTTAGGGAGTGCAAGAACGTTTCGAACCCATTGTCTCTTTGATAGTGCATAATTAGTCGACTGGAGATAACATGCCACAACTCTAGTTTTATTTGTTCAAATGCTATTTTGGTGTTCAAAGACTTTACTGTACGGCTTTAATAATGAAGAGACCACTATATATTTTATTAATTTTTTAGGTTAAAGCTCCAGCTGAGAAATATGATCCTTCATTACCTTCAAGATACAAAGCTTACATATTATGGCATTTTGTTGTACTTGGTCTTGCTTATGTAGAAATAACGGAGAGAAATATGGTGAGTTTCAATTACAATTCGACTTTTATTTCCCATCTGTAAACAGTTTTGACATTTCTGTCACTTTTATAAATAACCTACTTAGTTATACAGTTGTAAAAATATTATATTTAAAATTATTATATTTAAAAATAATAAATTATTATATTTTTATATTTAAAACGGTTGGACTCCAACTGCGCGAATGAAAATCCTCCCCCACCGTCCTGCTGTAGTCCAATTGCGCGAATCAAAATTTCTTTCCCCCTTTGATTACAGGGTTACAATTTAACTTTTCGAAGCCAATTGTAGCCAAGAGGAAAATAAAAATAAAGAAATAGAATTACATATCAACAATCAGAAGAATAAGTAAAGAATATCCAACCAGCAGGCTAACTACTTGAATAAAAGTAAAAAATGGGAGAGCTAACAAAGAAAATAAAAGGTATTGGTAAACATACACATTAGCATTACAAACGTCTTTCATTAATTACAATATCAGAGCAAAGAGTATTATAATAATATCATAAATAATTATAAAGAATAGCAATTATACTTTTTATAAATTGCATCAATAATAGTCAAGATGTCTGAACTAGACTGGAAAATTTAATATACTTAACTGGCCTGCAAAAGATTATTCCGAATCAAAGTGTGTTAAAGTTTGCTAGAAATATTTTTCGTTAATTAAAGTAATCATGCAAATGTTTACAGAAATTAATAGTTAAATTTAAAAAAAAGCTTAGCATGAAATCTATTATAACAACATTACTATGCGTTTGGAACAGTGACGTATAAATTGTAAATAAATTTAAATTATTATGTTAAGAAGTTTTTTCTAAAATTTATCTAGGAGAAAAGAATTAAATAAACAGTACTGCAAATTAATATAATCAATCAAGCCTCTCAATAAATAAAAGCTTAATTAAAATTGCAATAATAACCTTGTTTTTAGCGTACATATATTATTAAAACACTCAATCGATTTCGAGGGCAGCTAAAGGTCCCTCCTCATCAAGAGAACGAAATTACTAGAAAAGGGAAATTACTAGAAAATAAAATAATGAGAAACATAAAAATTAAGCTGTAATATATCTATTAAGAAGAATGCCTGTGTATTTTTGTGTTTGTTCGCGATTAATTCAGTAACTACTATAGCTATCGTCACCAAAATTTCTACAGTTCTTTTCTGAGCCCTGGAAAAGGTCCTTTTCTTTCCCAAATAAATAAATAAAATCTGAAAGGTTTCAAATTTTAAATTACGCCCAAAGTAACGTTTTTCAACATTTTGTGTGTTACCGTTATTTATTAAATATCATGTTTTTCGCACTTAAACCATAAAATTGAGTTTCAAAAATATGAAATCAATAATAAAACAAATTTCAAATTCCAAATTTGTGCCTCCAGATGACCATATTCGGGTCTAGACGTACGTTATTCAAAATTTGGTGGCTCTAGATACCGTTGTTTTATAACAATGCGTGAAACATACATACGTTTATGCAGATTCCTCATTATTTAATTTCTTTAAATATAAACACAGCAATCTAATATTTGGTGGCAACAATTTGAAAAGTGAACCGACATTTATAGTGAACCAACGCAGAATGCCAAAACGAAATTAATAGCCCTTCTGGGCTAACGTTCTTTGGGCTAAAAATAGCTAATAATATCAGAGATATTAATTAAAAACCCTGAAAACGCCGATTTTTGCCTTCATTGTTTCGAGTGGCAACAGTGTCGCTAGCTGGAGATAAAAGTCTGCTTTATTTCCAGGAATGTTGCCACTGCTCTCTTTCAGATCGTAGAGTTTGTTAATAAAAATTTGTAAGTTTTACAATGAAATAAAAGTAGCAAACATTAAATACATTACTCCCGATTCCAAAAATTCGTGGGAAGCTATTAGCAGAATTACTTTAAAAGTTTATAAATCCTCAGTATCATCGGTATTCATGTGAACGAATGGAGGCAAAGCTTGTCTAAGCAGACGAAGGAATTTTTTTTAACATCAATTTCAAAGGAAGAGAGGGAATGCATTATAAAATAAACCAAGCCAATGCATCTCTACGGATGAAATGCATGAAACTAATGGATGAAAAATTTATATAACTATATATCATCCCGTATATTTTGCTGTATTATAATATGCACCACATACAGTTATTCAAAATTATAAAAGAATTTTCTATGTACACTGCGAAAAAAAAAATCATAAATCTTCCGTTCTAATGGGCCAACTGACGTAAATCAAATTGCGTGTTTCATGTCTCGAAAGCGCGACTTAGGATATATATTAGATTTATATATATCATTATTCTGACATAGGTATTTTGACAAAAAATCAGACGTTTCCTGAAAGGACCTAGCATTTTTTCCATATTTCGATTCTACGACTCAAATTATGCCTTAATATTAAATTCTGTAAAATTTGGTGAGAAATTTAAAAATTATCTTGGCGTATTTTTTGTGGTTTGCGCCAAGAATAATTTACTTGGCGAAGTTCTTAATTAATAGCAATCTCATTTTCCTTTCCTGTCTTGCATTGCAGACGAGCGGAAGAAATGTCATCTTTCATACTTTCAAATAATTTTAACAAAGTGCGTAAACCCTTTTGGCGTTATTATCGCTGATAACAAATATGCCAAATTTCAAAATGCTATAATATGTAAACTCATGTATATCTTAGAAAATTTTGAATAAAAAACTCTAATTTTTTCAACGTATGTCAAGAAATACATCTCCTTTAAGGGGGCTCATACACCTTAGACCTCTTAACACCCTTCGAATATCTGACTGTTGCAAGAATTGGGATATTTTATTTATTTTAAAATCAATTACTTCCAACTTTTTACAACTGACTACATAATATAGCTGCTTTCTGAAATAGTGATCAGAAGTTGTGGTTGCCACAAATATTTTTGTAATTTAATCCGCTTTTGTGAAAAAAGTTTTCGTCATTTTTCCACCTTGCGCGCACTATATTTTAAAAATGGCTAATGGTACATACTTGAAATTGGATGGAATTCTTTATATGAGCCCCCATCTTTCAAACTGAACCTAATATCTGATGAATATTTTAATATTAAAAAATTTTATGGACGGAAAACATTACAGATTTTTTTAATAAAAATACATTTTATAAACTCGACTCCAAACAAAATAAAAATTTAACATGAAATTCTTAGAATTTTTTTGGTTCACAGTAGTTTCCAAATGTTATAAAAGCTATATATAAATATGGAATTAAATTATGCAACAGAATGTTTTAAACTGTGCGCGCAGGTGGAAACATGACGAAAAACTTTTGTCAAAAAGCGGATTAAATTAAATTATAAAAATATTTGTGGCAACACAAACTTTCTGATCACTGTTTCAGACAAAACTATATTATGTAGTCATCTGTAAAAAGTTGGAAGTAATTGCTTTTTAAATAAATAAGTTATCCCAATTCTTGCAACAGTCACATATTCGAAAATCTTATGGGTTTTAAGGTGTACAAGTCCCCTTAAGAGGATGTTAAAATTTTTATAGGTTATAATGCAAAAATGTTTTCGAAAAATTTATAAAAAATATTTAAAAATACGAATATTAAAAATAAATCATAAAAATGAGTGAATTTTATTTGGAATGAACCTAAATTTCGAACTGTGAAAGGAAGAATAATAAAAGTTTAATAAAAAAAGAGGTATTAATAAATACATACTAAATTGAATTAACATTGAGGAGCTAAAATTTTGAGAGCTAATTTTTTAAAAACTGCTCGTGCGATTTTTACTAAACTTGGCAGTATGGCATAATTTGAGTCATATAATCGAAATATATATATAAAATGGCATGTCCAAAAAAAAAAAGTGCGATTTTCTCTCAAAATACCTATGTTAGAACAATGCTATATATAAATGGGATATATATCCTAAGTCGCGCTTTGGAGACATGAAAAACGCGAGTTGAATCTCGTCAATTGGCTCAGTAGAACGGGAGTTATAGAACTGTCCCCCCTTTTTTTTGCGCTGTACGTTCCTAATTTACGTCATAATTAGTTAGTTATTCAGGTCTAAATAATCTGATTTTATATATAAATTTTTTTGTGTGTATATGTGCACGATCTGCAATTATAATGATCATGTAATGTTCTTTAATATTCTAATGCAAATTGTAAAAGATATAGAATGTGCCGGGTTGGTAACCACCTTCGTGCGGTTAATGTTAGGGTAAGGACCTACTCCGAAGACGTTCGTTTCTGTTTTACCACATTATGGTACGATTTTCTTTCCGAAAATTATGTGGCCGAAACATTTTAAAGCAATATTTTACTTATTTAGTCATTTATTTTGTTGCTTTTGTTGCTTTTTAAGAATAGAGCTGTAAAATTTAAAAAAAGTTATTTCTATGTAAGATTTAGCTTTGCTTGTAGTGTATTTTGCTTGAAAATGAAATAAAATATCTGGCATTTTGTTGCAGTTCCTTCCGCAGTTTATTCTTTACGTTGCAGTACTTCACCAGGTTTTCTCCCTGTCAATTATAGGAATGTTTCTTGAAGGAAGGTAATTAAATTTTTAAATTTAGAACTAAAGTTTTAACACCAAATTAAGAAAACTGTCGTATATTAATACGTACGTATATTTTTTGTTCCATTACAGATTTTATGCAATATCGCTGGAATGTTTACGGTGTCTTTTATCTTTGGCAATGACTTACTATTTCCTACCTCACACAAGAATATTTGCCCTACATTCATATTATCAGTGGTTTTTTATGGCAGTAATATATGCGACTTACGGACTATCAGCTGTATATTGGTTACACCATTGCTTTAAAAACATTAAAATCAAAATAACTACGTACAGTATGAAAAAAGTAGAATAATATAGTTTTCAATCACACCGAAAGTCTTTTGCTATTGAAATAAAAGTATTGAACCTGTGAAATGTTGTTTTGAATTTTATATACCATGTATATGTAAAATAAGTGTATTTTTAGTGTAATTATTTCATATTGTTGAAAATAATTCCCAAATAAAAAAGTTTTAAAATGTCCGTTTTCTTTTTATAGCAGTCTGAAGCACATCATAAAATACGATTAAAACATATATTTCGAAATTATCAAAACAAAACAACGAAGATTAATAAATGAGATGCATGGCGGAGGGTGTTATCTTTTAATTAAAACCTAAACAATATTTTACATACATATATGTGACAAATTACAGGCTTAAATTCAGCTACAAAACTTTAAAAGTAGGAATTTAATGGTGTTGACAAATGTAACAAAAGGACTGAACTACTCATCATTTTTACATTCTCGTATATTCAGGGTTGAGTTAATAAATCGTACTTATAATGCTACGTTTTGGCAATAGCAGCAAATATTTCTCAACACACAATCTTGTTATCTTAATCATGTTAGATCAATCTTGTTATCATAATCTTGTTAGAAATAAATTTTTATGAAAATTATAGTCTATGTTACCAAAACATTATATAAAAAGTGTTTAAAACAAAGGTTAGTTCTCGTACGGGAAACCACAGTTTTTACCCTATACAAGAAAAACTTTCTAAGTAAAGTTTTTCTTATTGATGCTTAGCACCCTAGATCTAAAAAACGCTCGATTTTCATTATGGATATCTGGGTTTCGTTCTAAACAACGTTATGCGTTATGGAGAACATTCTTAAGCGAATGTTCACACAGCGGTATTTCATACATACATACAGACGACATTTCATGCATATACAGCATACACAGCGACATCTCACATATATTGCATGATATTTTATTTTTATGTTTTAAAAATATTATAACTTGACAAATTTATTAATGAAAATGAGCGAAGGTGTTTTTTTCTTCATTTATTTATAACAGTGCGCTTTACAATTGTAGATAACTGTTAAGCTTTCACTCCAATTTTGAGGCGAAAATCCCGAGGAGGGAACGATCTGAGGGTTTCCACCCCTTCTCGCTTCCTACCAGCCTTTGGAGAGGAGTTACGGCTTGCCGAGTATTTTCAGGGCCCCCTTGTCGCGCAAACACTATATGCTTACTATAACATCCATGCCTCCTTCGGATTCGAGCCAGGGTCCGTCGCTATGGCAGTCAGCATCACTAACTATTATACTGGCTGAGCAGCTATTGTTAGAACATAGAACATACCGAAATATCATCCATTCCGAAATTTCTTTTTAAAGCAAGAAAGAATACAGCCTTTCGCTCAGATCTATACCCTCCTTTTGTATTTGCACAAAGTTCGGTACTTGCACCAGCCTGAAATTCTTGGCTCTGTCAGAATTTCTTTGGAGACCATCTCTTGTTTCGATAGTCCTCCGTTTGGCTATCAGTTCTAAATTTCCATTTAACTGACCGCTGAACATTTTTACTTACCAGGTAGGTCTTAGAAGGCCGTGATGTGTTGATTCTTCGTCTCCGATTTCTTTCTACCCCTTCACATTGAAACTCTGCATTCCTTTTCAACCCTTGAGTTTTTCATCGGTGAACTTCCCTCCTTCCCAGACACTCTGATTCGTTATTTTGCATAATGGCTTGACGAAAATGCTTAATTTTCAGGCATTATTCTTGATCTGTTTCTTTTAATTCTTCTTGAACGTACTGTTCCTTCTCAGAATTCGTGCTGGTGCCGTATGGCCAATGGGCATTTGAAAGCGTTCCCTTTGCTATTCTAATATTTCAACCCCAAGCACTGGTTTTCTTTTCCTTCCAGATTATTTTACTCGAATCTCGTTTTCTTGCTCTTGTTACCATCTCGTCTTCTCACCCCCTTTTTCTTAATTCCTATTGTAAACTTCTTGATTTGTTTAACGTTCTTTTTAACGCATCTCTCCCAGGTCTTTTTCTTGAGCTACTTTCTGCTTTCCGAAATTGAAATCTACTATTCGTTCACAAACTACAGTGAAAATCGTTTAACACGAAACTGAGGGGACTGAAATATTTTTTCGTGTTAAAAGCACTTCATGTTAAAGGATATTGGGAAAAAAAACTATATATTCAACAAAATTAAGTTTATTAGAGTACATTTTATTTACATAGATATGTATACATGCATGTATTTAATAAAAATCAATGAAGCAAAAATATCCATAAGAACTTTATTTAATACAAAATTTTCAAGTTTTTTGGAAAACAAAGCACTTTTTGAGTTTTTGGAAATTAATCTGATATTTTTCTTTGCATTGTCTTAGCATCAAATTGTTCGATATAGTCCCTTTTGTTATTCATTTCACTATTGGATTGTGCGTCTAAATAACTATTTATACTTTTCATGATGTTCCTCATTTGGGATGACTTGGAAATAGGAGCTGCATTATTCATTTCATTTTCATCGTCAGAATCTGCATCAATGATATTGCTTTCGCTTTGAGCAAACTCCAAAATGTCTTTGTTTGCCATAATTGGCGCTGTACACACAGTATTATCATCTACTAAAACGAATTCTTCCGATGATACAGTAGGACAGTCCAATAATACAGAAACTTTCTCAAACATTTCATTAAGTGTTGGCTCAGTTTCAATATCCTCATTCTCCATTTCTTTTAGAACGAACCAAACTCACTGATTTTTACACACACTGAAATGCATTCGCCCCCGAATTCCAGTGCCACCTGATGAGAGATGAGATGCTTTTGTGTGGCGTTTGTAGGGGTGGAGGTTGAAAGTAGCTTAGATAAACAAAATTGGCTCGTATCCTCAGGCTGTTCCGAGGGTATTTCAAAGCCAAGTTAGCCTCCTTTCTACGAAACATGTGAAACCATCTCTCTTTTATTTCACACTCCTCTTAAATCTCGCCTGCGCGGCTGGTGTTTTCCGTATTTTGTTCATTCCCAGAAAGGAAATCTTTTCGTGTTAAGCGATTTTCGTTTCGTGTTAAAAGAAACAAAATGCATGAAAATATATAGTAGTTTATCGGAACCGTTGTATTATTTTGTGTTAACCGATATTTCGTTTTAAGCGTTTTTGTGTTAAACGTATTTCACTTTAGTAAGCTTTCGAATGCCTGATTAGCCAAAAAGGGTGGGATCTCTTTTAGAGCTAACTGCTCTTGTTGGAAGCGAGCCAGGAAAATTCAATCTCCGTTTTAGGATGGGAAAGAATGTTTACACCCTTATGTTAAAAATGGATGAATTTTTATCTTTTCCCAACTTTTAGAAAAAAATTATTCCAGAATTTTATTATTAGTTCTATGTAGAAAGGAGGTATTAAGGGCTCAAAACTAGTGTTGAAAGTAATTAGTTCAGAGTGTTAGCGTTTGATTGAGCCAATTCTAACAATCCCTCCCAGTTTCATTCTTTTCGCTTCATTCTCGCTAACCGCTCTTGATTAACCCCTCGTTCCAGATATTTTTCATCAAGGCTATTGTTAGTGAGAGGTGTATCATAAAAAAAGAACTGATTCAAATCAGTCGGAGAACAGTTCTGATCTGATCCAATAAAAAAAAAAGTAATTTTGTCCATATCTGTCTAGGTATATACGAAACTGAGAAAAGTGATGTTTAGAATCTGCTTTAGTGCTATGATAATGTGTTAATTATGAAGTCCTAACCGGCACTGAGAGATAATATTAGTAATGGTCCAATCGGGGATAATAACATGCATGTTGACGCTGTGCCGAAGGAGTTCACTCTCAAAGAAACGAACAAAAAGTTTAAAATTACTGAATTTTAGAAGAATAATTCTCGATCCTAATCTTGGGTGATCAACGAAAATTTGCCAGAAAAGTGGACTTTCCGTCTATTACTACAGAGTTTTTTCACACACACAGACGCACACGTGGGCAAAAAATTCACCGAACAATTTTGTACAAAATTTTACATCATAATTCTACTCCCTATCTTCTGAAGACGCTGCACTAACCTGAATATGCAGCTTTATTTTTAGAATTTGATATTGTTTTCTAGTTTACATTTTTGGTCTAATCGATCAAACTTAGTTTTTACTACCTTGTACGAAGTAAAACGGAAGTATTGTAATCGCGAAAAGTTTCAGGCAGCATATTTCGACGAAAATATCCATTTTGACCGCTATCGAATGCAATTTAACGATGTTTTTGCGCGATATCTGTACGTAAGGACAGAATAAAAGACTCGCTTCCTCCAAAAAAATTATAAACTGCTTTTAAAACTAATTCTGAAGAGATTTTGGCGTCTGTACGAACGTATGTAGTACGTATCTCGTATAACTCAAAAACGAGTCGCCTCAGAAAGTTGAAATTTTGTATATCGGACTGCTTAACATGTAGATGTGCACCTCGTTATTTTGTTGTCAATCGGCCGACACAAACCAAACGTATATAAATAGTTTATATTTATATATATATCCCACTCTGTTACCCGGCTCAGTGATCTCAGTTCTTACTCTTATATGTTTGTAAATTGTACATTTTTTTGCTTTAAAAATGATTGAATTATGTTGTTTTTATCTTCCGGTTAAGGTTTTATGCCTTTAGGAAACCTGCAAGCAATATTTTTGGAATTTTCAACAATTTAAAATCTGTTTAAGTGCGGTTAAGCCTAATGTTTAACTAACATGGGGGCATGGGGACATGTTTGTTTACATTTGAAACAGCAGACTAGTGGATTTTTTGCCAATCTAGAGAAACTTAGCTTCGCAACAACAAAGATAACGCCTTCATTTATTATTGCCCATTAAATCATGCTTAACCTTTTGAGGCCGGGGCTTTGGTAGCAGTAAAAGCTACCAAAAGACGGGGAATCTTGAACCGAATGCTTTCTTTTCTTTAAGAAATCACCTCCTATTTGCAACAAAGATTCTTGTGTGTAGTTTAATGGATTCTCAGAGGGGTGCATCTATGTCGCGAAAGGAAGTCCTTTGAAAGAGATAAGTGGTTAAAACCCCAGGGACGTAAAATTTGACATTTCACCCCACTTTTCAGCCTGGAAAATGGGGAAAAACGACATGGCCA